GAACACTGTATACATTATAAATAAATAAATCATAAAAAACTAAAACCAGAAACAAGTCTGGAAGAGTGGCACATGCATTTAACCCCAGCACTGGGAGGCAGAGGCAGAGGCAGAGGCAGAGGCAGAGGCAGAGGCAGAGGCAGAGGCAGAGGCAGAGGCAGAGGCAGAGGCAGAGGCAGAGGCAGGAGGTTTTCTGAGTTAGAGGCCAGCTCTGGTCTACAGAGCCAGTTCAGAGCCAGTTCCAGGACAGCCAGGGAGGGCTATACAGAGAAACCTTGTCTCAAAAAACCAAAAAAGAGAGAAAGAAAGAAAAAAAATTATATTATCCAATGAATTGTTGCCATGATTTTGAATAAACTGTTTTCTCTTAGGTCAAATACAAATAAGAAAACAAAATCTTTTTTTTTCTTTTTTGTTTTCTTCAATAGGCTTTTTAAAAAATTGTATTTTATTTAGTGTGTGTATATGTGTGTTGGTTAGTTTTTGTCATCTTTTTTTTGTTGTTGTTGTTTTGTTTTGTTTTTTCAAGACAGGGTTTCTTTGTGTAGCTTTGCGCCTTTCCTGGAACTCACTTGGTAGACCAGGTTGGCCTCAAACTCACAGAGATCCGCCTGGCTCTGCCTCCCGAGTGCTGGGATTAAAGGCGTGCGCCACCACAGCCCGGCTAGTTTTTGTCATCTTGACACAACCTGGAGTCATCTTGGAAGAGGGACTCTCAACTGAGAAAATGTCCCCACCAGATTTACCTGAGGGCAAGCCTACGGTGCATTTTCTTCATTGATAAACGATGCGGGAGGGCCCAGCTTACTGTGAGTGGTGCCACCCCTGGGCTGGGGATCCTGGTATCATAAGAAGGTATTGTATGCTGAGCACTCCATGAGAAGCAAGCAAGCCACTAAGCGGCATTCCTCCACGACCTCTGCATCAACTCCTGCCTCCAGGTTCCTGCCTTGGGTTCTTGCCCTGGCTTCACTCAGTGATGGAATGTGGCTGTGGGTTGTAAGATGAAATAAACTCTTTCCTCCATGTGGTAGTTTGAATGTAATTGGGCCCCATAAGCTCACAGGGAGTGGTACTATTAGGAGGTGTGGCCTTGTTGGAGTGGGTGTGGCCTTGTTGGAGGAAGTGTTACTGTTGGGGCGGGCTTTGAGGTCTCCTTTGCTCAAGCTATGCTCAGTGTATGCAGTTGCTTCCTGTTGCCTGTGGATCAAGATATAGGACTCTCAGCTCCTTCTCCAGCACCATGTCTGCCTGCATGCCGCCATGCCCCACCATGATGATAATGGACTAAACTTCTGAAATTGTAAAGCACCCCAATGAGATGTTTTCTTTTTAAGAGTTTCTGTGATCATGGTTTCTCATGATGATGATAATAATAATAATAATAATAATAATAATAATAATAATAATAGGCCAAGTGTGGTGCACATGCCTGGGATCTCAGCACTCAGGACATAGAGGCAGGGAGATCAGAGGTTCAATGTCATTCTCAGCTACATAATGAGTTTAGGGTTAGCCTGGACTATATGAGATCCTGTCTAACAACAAAACAAAACATCTGTTATAATATTAGTTTACACATCCCCTTTTAATTTTCCACAGGATTTAAAAACAAATACAGGGGCTAAAAAGATGCCTCAGTGGTTAAAGAGCATCCATACAGCGGCTTACAATCATCCCTAACTCTGGTTTCAGGGGATCTTAAGCCCTCTTATAATCTCTGCCCACACCAGGCACACACATGATACACATACATACATGTAAGCAAAACACTCATATATATAAAATAAATAAATCTAAAAAAAAATCACATACCTATAAATTGATGTTAATGAGAATAAAATTGCATAAAGCCATGATTTTTTTGTTTGTTTGCTTGTTTGAGACAAGGTCTCACTATTTAGCTCTGGCTGTCCTGGAACTCACTCTGTAGACCAGGCTGGCCTCAAACTCACAGAGATCCACCTGCCTCTGCCTCCAGGGTGCTGGGATTAAAGACATGTATCACCATGCCTGATTAAATTGTATAAAGTCATAATTCTTAATATCAATAACCAAGTGGAAAGTTTTATAAGAGTAGGATCTTTGTGACTCAAATTGTGTGTATCAATTCAGATCATATAACTTAGATAATTTATGTGATCTCCATGGTAACAACAGCAGCATTTACAGAATTTGCACAAAAGCAAATGTGATGGGAATAAAAATGCATCACTACACAAAATCAATTCAACACACAAAAAAGAGAGAGATAAGGCAAAATGTCTTCAGACCACTGGGAATGGCCACCAGATCCACTTAAAGTAAAGGAGTAAGACAAAAGTAAACAGGAATTATGGTCATGGAGTGAAGCGTAAGTATCATAAACTGATGGTGAGGGAAGTCAACCTAGTTAGCTTTCTACGCTGTAATAAAACATTCTGACCAAAACTAACTCAGGGAGGAAAGGGTTCATTTGGCTTACAAGTCCCAGTCCTAGAGGGAACTCAGGGAGAAGCAGAAATGGGAACCTGGACACGGGAACTGAAGCCGAGGCCCTGGAGGAACTGGCTTCTTATCGACTTGCTCAGCCTTTTTTTTTTTTTTTTAAATACAATGCAGGACTACGTGCCCAGGAGTGGCACCACCCACATCCGGCTGGGCCTTCTCACATCAATCATTAATCAAGGAAACGCCCCTAGACTTACCTACAGCCCAGTCTTATGGTGTCACTTTCTTGGTTGAGGTTTCCTCTTTCCAGGTAACTCTAGCTCATGTTAAGTTGCAAACAAACAAACAAACTGAGCATCACTGAATGACCCAGCTAACAAGAGTTGAGTAAGAAAGAGACACAGGCAGTAAGGCGGCTGTATCTGCAGACTTCTTTCATCTTTGACCCTTGTGCTGGTCGTTTTATGTCAACTTGACATAAGCTCGAGTCATTAGCGAGGAGGGAGCCTTAATTTAAAAAGTTCCTCCATAAGATCAGGCTGCAGGCAAGTCTGTGGGGGCATTTTTTAAATTAGCGATTGATGGAGGGAGCGCCCAGCCTATTGTGAGTGGGGCCACCCCTGGACATGTGGTTCTGGACTCTATAAGAAAGCAGGCTGAGCAAGCCAGTAAGCAGCACCCCTCCATGGCCTCTGCATCAGCTCCTGCCTCCAGGTTCCTGGCCCGTTTGAGGTTCCTGTCCTGACTTTCTTCAATGATGAACAATGATGCAGAAGGGTAAGATAAATAAACCCTTTCCTCCCCAAGTTGTTTTTGGTCATGTTGTTTCATCATAACAATAGTAACCCTAACTAAGACAGACCTGAAGACCAGAGAAAAAATCATTTTAAGCTGATAAATCCAGCAGAGAGGTGTAAATATATTTAAGATATAAAATATATTTAATCCTTTAATCCCAGCACTCAGGGGGCAGAGGCAGGTGGATCTCTGAGTTCGAGGCGAGCCTGATCTACAGAGCAAGTCCCAGGACAGCCAAGTATACACAGAGAAATCCTGTCTCAAAAAGAAAAAAAAAAAAGGTGTACTGAGTAATAGAGAGGGTCCATGCATGCTGTTTAAATCATGTTTGCCGGAAAAAGTTGCTAGCAGGAAGGCATCCAAGCTATGACAAGATCTGTTTCACAAACAGAAGAAGAAACCTCAACGCAGGATGTAGGGAGACCATACTCATTCAGTAACTGTAGAATAAATATGGGTCACAAAACTTTAGAATGAATGCGATCACAAAATAATAGCAATGGAAACCCCACACCAGCATGATAGTTAGTTGATAAAATTTTTACCATGGAGTGGAAGGTTAAAATCCTGAGACTTCTCTCCACACACACTGACTTAACAGCTGTGTAGTAGATGGTGATGGGAAAAGCCAAGTTGTTTGATGTGCTGTTTGAAGGAGAATGGCCCCCACAGGCTTGTGTATTTGAATGCTTGGTCCCTAGTCCGTGGAACTGTTGGGGAAGGATTAGGAGGTGTGGCGTTGTTGGTGGAAGTGTGCCACTGGGCTTGGAATTGGATGTTTCAAAAGCCCTTGCCATTTCCAGTTGTCTCTCTCTCTTTCTCTCTCTTCCTACTTCATGGTTGTTACCTGAAGATGTAAGCTCTCAGCACCATGACTGCCTGCTTACCCACCTGCTCCCTACCATGATGATCATGAACTCTACCTCTCTGAAACTGTGAGAAAGCCCCCTATAATAAATAAAGTCTTTCTTTATAAATTGCCTAAATTGCCTTGATGGTGGCATCTTATCAAAGGAATAAAAAAAAGTGATTAAGACATTCACTTGCTGGAGCCAGAGTTTACAGATAAGTAAGTGGTAAGGGCCTAGAGATGGGGACGTGAGAACAACTTTTGCTTTACTGTCTATAAGTTCAGATGGTCGCATGGAGATATCGTAGAAGAAACACTGGTACATACACAAGTTAGTCTGTATATTAATTTCCTCTGTGAGATGAAAAGGCCTAAATAAGACTGTTAAGTCACAAAGTGGCTCCCAAAATGGTGGTGCTCATGGTAACATTTTAGGGTGACAGGGCAGGTCCCTCCTGGGCTGGATTTGACTAGAAATCAATCAGAAACCTAAAGTGTTTCTTGGAAGCCCTTCATGGCTGGCTGAACATTTCTAACTTCACCCCACCTCTGTCTGGCAGAGCCCCATGCCCTGCCCCCTGGCTGTTCCAGCTTCCGAGTTGCCTCCCCCTGTTATCTACCCACCTAAAACCCAACAAGCTTTTGCAGCTGTTACTGCACTCTCGGAGGCAGCCTGGCAGTTTTGCCCTTAATAATAAACTGCTTTTCTCTCCACAGAGTGGCTTTGTTTGATGTTTCTTGCTGGGCCTGTTTACAGAGACGGTCCTTCAGAAGCAACCGGCATACCTAGGCTTAGATCTTGTTTTCTGATGCCCTTCTTGGATCCTTGGAGAAATGGCTGACTCTAGCCCTAGGGCAGAAAGCATTTAGGCCTGATGCTCCTTATAGTGCCAGAAGTAAGGAAGTGCCTAAAAGTATTAACATGCTCACTTCAGCAGCACATATATGAAAGTTGGAATAGTACAGACAAGATTCGTATGACCTTTGTGCAAGGATGACATGCATATTTATAAGGCAGTCCTTTTTATCTATCTATCTATCTATCTATCTATCTATCTATCTATCTATCTATCTATCTATCTATCTATCTATCCAACTATTTATTTTCGGTTTTTTGAGATAGAGTTTCTTTGTGTAGCTTTGGAGACTGTCCTGTAATTTGCTCTGTAGACCAGGCTAACCTCAAACTCACAGAGATCGCCTACCTTTGCCTCCTGAGTGCTGGGATTAAAGGCGTGTACCACCACTGCCTGGCCAGTCCTTCTTTTTAATTATGTTAAGTAAAATACGCCAGATGCAGGGGGACATTTGTAGCTAGAGTTTTCCTGCCTGGCCCACAGTCAAGACAAATCTCTCTCGCCCGCCAGTCCCACAGCCGCTCGGACCCAACCAAATAAACACACAGAGATTTATATTGCTTACAAACTGTATGGCCATGGCAGGCTTCTTGCTAACTGTTCTTACGTTTTAAACTAACCCATTTCTATTCATTTATAAGTTGCCAAGTGGCTTGTGGCTTACCAGTACCTTACATCTCACTTGTCATGGCAGCAGCTGGCAGTGTCTCTATGACTCAGCCTTCCACTTCCCAGAATTCTCTTCTCTGCTTGTCCTGCCTATACTTCCTGCCTGGCTACTGGCCAATCAGTGTTTTGTTTATTAACCAATCAGAGCAACACATTTAACATACAGAACATCCCACAGCAGACATTATTACATGTTTTTTTCTCATATGCAGATCCTAGATTTTAGTTTTTATACATGTGTATTTATATGTGTAAATGTGTAGGTCATGAAACTAGAAAGGCACTATGAGAGGAAAGGAAGAGATGTTAAAGGAGGTGTGGGGGGGGGATGGGGATAAAATTTCCTCTGAGATTAAAATTTTCAGTTTTTGAGGGAAGCCTCTTACAACACATGATATTGAAGGGGAGGTAAAACAACAGGACGTTGCGGAGGTGAAACATTCCATCCTGCAAGCAAGCTCCTTAAACTCAGGAAGTGAACAACTCAATAGCCACAGGATGTCCCTGATGCTGACCAGGTTTTAGAAGGCTTCCCTCCTCATATGTAAGCACTAAGGCCTGCTGAGAGGTAGATACTCCCAGCTAAGCTGAGCTACCCAGAAGACTCTCGGACCAGCCAAGCCACCTGAAATAGGCAGAGACCATGCAGCTGCTTAGAAGAGGCTCAGACAGCCAGAGCTGTGTGAAAGAGACACTCTAATGTAGTGGGTAGCAGAGCCAGGCGGATCTCTGCGAGTTCAAAGCCAGCCCGGCTAGCTCAGTCGGTAGAGCATGAGACTCTTAATCTCAGGGTTGTGGGTTCGAGCCCCACGTTGGGCGCCAGATATTGGAGAAATTATTTTGGCCACTCCACGTAGTTAAAAGGATATTTATTTAATGGCGTAACTCACAAATTAAGTAATGGGTAGGTCGCAGGGTCTGGGGAAGGTGTAATGCAGTCCAGCGGTGTTCTCCGGAGCTCTGCACAATCTGCACCAGTCAGCGTTCCGGCACCGAGAGAGCGCCCAGAGCGAGCGCTGGCCCATCCAGCTCTCGGGTCCCCAGGCGCCTCCCCTCGCCCCGCCTCGTAGGTGTGACAGTTGCCAGAGTCTCAATGGGGGTTGGAACTTCCAGAACCAAGCTGGAATGGCTACCCACTACACTCTAACCTGTTGAGCTGTCTGCAAGTTGGGCAGCAGGCTCCAAGGTTCCAGCTTTTTTTTTTTTTTTTTTTTACGGTTGCCATTTATTTATTTATTTATTCATTCATTTATTTTTCATTATTTATTTATTCTATTATTAGCTCGATACAGTACAAATTCTTATCCTAATAGTGAAATGTTTCATTGAGGCTTGCCCTGTTATTGAGTAAAACCAAAACTTATTATAAGCCACAGTCATCCTAGGGTCCCCCCTGCTATATACCCTCCCTCGTTCTGTGGGTTGCAGTCTGATTGTTCTTTGCTTTATATCTAGTATCCACTTATGAGTAGGGTTCCAGCTTTTATCAGTTGTCACTCGTGCTGGGGTGGGCTTTTGGTGTTCAGCAGTCTTTGAGTCATTTCTGCTCCTGTAAGTAAGTAGACACATTTGTTCACATCCCCGCGTGAATAGTGTCACAGAACAGATTGGAAAAGAATATATGTGACATGAAAACATAAGTGTGTCTGAGTTGGGGGGGGGATTAGAAAGATAGAAAAGGAACCAGTAGAAAGGGGGATAGGAAGGAGGCAGCAGAGTCAGGGGAGATCAACAAGAACAAAGAATGGAGCTGGGTGGTGGTGGTGGTGGTGGCGGCGGCGGCGGCGGCGGCGGCGGCGGCAGCGCACGCCTTTAATCTCAGCACTTGGGAGGCACTTGGGAGGCCGAGGTAGGTGGATCTCTGAGTTCAAGCCTAGTCTGGTCTATAAGGGTTACATAGTTAAGACCCTGTCTCAAACAGTATGTTCGAAAAGCAATAATTACACATATTACTTGGTGTGCTGATTTTAAAAGCTAATAAAAATAAATAAAATGGGGGGAGGTGCTAGAGAGGTGGATCAGCAGTTAAGAGCAGTTATTGCTCTGGCAAAGGACCCAGGTTTGATTTCCAGCACCCACATGATGTCTCACAACCATCCATAATGCCAGTTCAAGAGCACGTGACAGGCATACACATGGTGCACATATATGCATGCAGGCAAAGCGTTCATATACATCAAATAAATTACTTAAAAACCCCCCAAAATCTGCTAGTCTATTATAGTTTTGAATGTATTAAAAACTCATGCTAATGGGTTCTGTCAAAAGAGCATGAGGGCCAAATGGCCAATTCTGGAGCCACCTGGACAGTACTGGTTGAAACCCCAAGGAAAGAGGACTTATGGGTCAGTATATGTTTATGGCTACCTTCAAAGCTTCAGCCTGAGGATGGAACACCATCGTTGGTACCTGTGTTGTCTACTTCAGAGTAGACATCCACTGATCATCCTTGTTTGCCTCATACACTTACAATAGTGTCTTGGGACTGCCCAAGATCGGATGTCTGCCATCATTTGGTGCTGATATTGAAGTGTGAAATATGCAGTCATGTTGGTCACTGATGCCAGCTCTCTTGACACCTCTGCCTTCTTCCCAAACAAAGCACCCCAGCCTGCCCCCACCACATTCTCAACCCCACTACCACACCATCTTCAAACTATTCCTTGTGCCTCTGCCTCCACCTGTCACATCGCTGCCCACCATAGATTCTACCTTAACCCTCTGCCTCCCACTGATGACCAGTATTCCCTATGACAAAATGACTTCAAACTTAGCTCTTCCATAGTTGCTGAGGGTACCTGGCCCTGAAGCCTTGAAGGACACAGCCAAGTTATATATTGCGTTAAGGAGTCCATTTAGGTCTCTGCCCTTGAGGGAGTGAAAGTGGCTGGAGTGTTGTTTGAGTGCATTGTTCCTTCAAGGGACAATAGATGTGTTTCCTCAAAAGAACTCTCATTTCTTGATTCTTTTCCAGGCTCTGTACTTCTCTCTCTCTCTTTTCTTTTCTGTTTTTTGTTTGTTTGTTTGTTTTTCGAGACAAGATTTCTCTGTGCAGCTTTGGAGCCTGTCCTGGAACTCACTCTATAGACCAGGCTGGCCTCGAAGTCACAAAGATTGCCTGGCTTGGCCTCCCTAGTGCTGGGACTAAAGGTGGGCACCACCACTGCCTGGCTGGCTCTGTACTTCTTCTTCTTCTTTTTTTTTTTTCCCCCGTGCAAGCTGACAGGTCACTTCGGGCTTCTGCAGTTGCTAAGTTTCTTTTGCTTCCCAGGCTTCTCTTAGCTTCAGCTTTTGCCCTGGTAACCTTAGTCTTTTATTATCATAAGAAAAGGGGAAACAAATAAAAGGGGAAATCACTCAATACAAAATGTTGTCATGATTCCAAAGATTATTCTTTTTTTTTTTTTTCCTTTTAGTTTATTTTACAAGGCTCTGTACTTCTTGATTGACGATGCTTGTAACTTAGAGGAGGCTGTAAGGAAGGGCTGGGTAGAAGACCATTCCAAGGACCTAGGAACTTTATCTGCAGGAATGAGGAGTCACTGTGAAGTTTCTAAGGTCAACCCTGCATCTTGGCCTTTGGAAGCAAAAGCACTGTGATGGTTGAGGGAGAAGTGCAGGGCCCTGGCTCCCCAGCACTGCAGAAAATAAGAATGAAAAACTGTGATGTCAGCTGCACTTCCTAGTCATCGTCCCACCGTGGTAATCATAAGGAAGGATAATATTTATATATTCACTGCAATCAGTGTGAGGAAGCTCATAGAATTCAAAAGGGAGTTTCATGCATAATAGCTATTAGATCTTATTCACATGGTATTTTCATGAAAAGGAAAAAAAAATTAAAATGTTATATAACTATGAGTGTGGGGGGGAATTAGTAAGATAGAATTGAATGTGTAAAATTTCATGATAATATATCTATGATCCTCAATTGACTGATTAAATGTTGTTGTGCTGGGGTTGAACCCAGGGCTTTGTGTATGCTGGGTAAGTACTTTATTACATTCCTAGCTATGATTTGTTTGTTTGTTTGTTTGTTTGTTTGTTTGCTTGCTTTCAAAAATAAAAAGCTAGAGCTTTCTTCTTGGGGTCCAATTTTTTATTGCTTGTTTGTTTTAGAGTCACAGTTTTGGTAAATAGCCCAGGCTAGCCTCCAACTCTTAATCTTTCCTCAGTGTCCTGAGAGCTATAATTATGTACCTATACCACCATGCTTGGTGGAATCTAACTTTTTTTACATCTGTTTATTATTATTATTATTATTATTATTATTATTATTATTATTATTTTGTGGGTGTATGCATGTGCACTTGAATAATGTGTGTATGTGTGGGGGTGCACATGTGACAGGGCAAGAGAGCAAAGGTCCCTCCACCTGTATTCTTGCTGAGGCCTGTTGTAGAATATTACTTTATGCAAAGGTGTGTTACATTTGTTTATGTTGCATTTGTTTAAAACTGTAAAGATGTGCTACTTTGCCTGCCTAAGGCACCTGATTGGTCTAATAAAAACTGAATGGCCAATAGCTAGGCAGAGGAGGGATGGGGGGGGATGGTGGGCAGAGAGAATAAGTAGGAGGAGGAATTTAGGCTACAGAGCAGGAAAAGAGAATGAAGGGAAGGAGAGGGAGATGCCTGGGGCAAGCCAGCCAGGTAGTCACCAGCCAGCCAAACATGGAGTAGGACATATAGAATGAAAGAAAAAAAAAAAAAAAAAAAAAAAAAAAAATACAAAAAAAAAAAAAGAAAGAAAGGTAAAAGGCCCTGAGGCAAAATGTAGATGAAGAAAAACAGGTTAAATTAAGTTATAAGAGCCAGGAAGAAACAATAATAAGATAAGATCAAGCATTCTTAACTAATAATAAATGTCCATGTCATGATTTGAGGACTGGGTGGTGACCCAAAAGAAAGTCTACTACAGGGGCCATTTTAGGATTGACTAGAATTTGATCTCTTTATTGGGAAGGCCAATGGAAAATTACCCTAGGAACCTGATGTTAAGATGCCCCAACTAACTTATCTTAGCTTCTGTTAAACCGCTTGCTTGCACAAAACCTCCCTCTGCAACTGCCCAGAGAGATAGCAGGATGTGTCTTTTTGCCTACATAAACCCCTTTCTCTAAACCTTCAGCACTATACATGGGTCCCAAATACCTGAGTATAGTCCAAGCAGTCTTGAATAAATTTTTTCAATTAGCTATAAACTGTGTCTCAGTGGTCATCTCTGGTGGGCTCCCCATAACACACATGCCACAGTACCTCTGTAGAAGTCAGAGGACAACGTTGTGGAGTCCATTTTTCCCTTCTACTTTTACCTAGGTTCCAGGGATCAAACTCAGGTCACAAGACTTGCACTTTACCTGCTCCTCCCCAGGTCATTTTAATGACCATTCTTTAGTTCTTAATAGTCATCAGAGAGGAAAAGGAAAAAACTGTTTTGGTGAAGGGGACTATATATGTGTAAGAATTAAAAGCTGGGCAGCAGTGCTGCATGCCTTTAATCCCAGCACTCAGGAGGCAGAGCCAGGCGGATCTCTGTGAGTTCAAGGCCAGCCTGGTCTACAGACTGAGATCCAGAACAGGCAACAAAACTACACTGAGAAACCCTGTCTCAAAAAACCACACACACACACACACACACACACACACACACACACACACACACACACAAATTAAAAAGCCACTTTTTACTATTCCTATTTTTTATGCAAGATTTGGATAGATTTTAGGCTACTATGCATAGCCTAAGGGCACCACTGCATCATATTTTGCACACAACCAGGACCAATAACCCAGATGAAGAGACTGAATTATATCAGCATCCCTGAAAGCTCCTGTCACATTTTTCCTGGAAGATATATTCTCTCCTGACCCCAGATACAATCTTTTGTGTCTGTATTCTTGCATTTTGCATTAGGTCTGTGAATTCTCCGGTGAATCCCTTTGTATAAGAAGAATTCTTTCCTTATTCCTCTTCCTCTTCTTTTTTTGACACAATTTCTCTATGTAGTCTTAGCTGTCCTGGAATTCACTTTGTAGACTAGGCTAGCCTTAAACTCACAGAGATCTGCCTGCCTCTGCTTCCCAAGTTGCGGGGATTAAAGGCGTGTGCCACCACTACCCAGTGAATTAATTGTTTCTTAAGACTGCTTAGTATTTGCCTATATGACAGTCTCATAGCTTCCCTGTCCTTTTTCCTGCTGGTAAATATTTGGGTGGTATACATTTAATATTTATTTTACATTATTAAATAATTTAACATTTACTTTTGTGTTTGGTGCCCATTGTCTATCTTTAATTTTTTTTTCTTTTTTTGATTTTTTCGAGACAGGGTTTCTCTGTGTAGCTTTGCGCCCTTCCTGGAACTCGCTTTGGAGACCAGGCTGGCCTCGAACTCACAAAGATCCACCTGCCTCTGCCTCCCGAGTGCTGGGGATTAAAGGCATGCACCACCACCACCCGACTATCTTTAAATTTTTTAAATTATTATTTTATTTTATATGTATGGGTATTTTGCCTGCATGCATTTTTGTGAACTATATATGTACCTTGGTGCCAGAAGACAGCATTGGATCCCCTGGAACCACAGTTACAAATGATTGTGAGTGGCCACATGGGTGCTGGGAATTGATTGTGGGTCCTCTGGAAGAGCAGGCATTTTTTTTTTTTTTTTTGGTTTTTCGAGACAGGGTTTCTCTGTGTAGCTTTGCGCCTTTCCTGGAACTCACTTGGTAGCCCAGGCTGGCCTCAAACTCACAGAGATCCACCTGGTTCTGCCTCCTGAATGCTGGGATTAAAGGCATGCGCCACCACCACCTGGCTGCATTGTTCTTTTTTTAAAAAAATTATTTTATTATTTTATGTGTGGGCATTTTGTGTGCATGCAAGGCTGTGCACCACGTGAATGCAGTGCCCTGGAAACCAGAAGATGTTGAATCCCCTGGAACTGGAATTATGTATAGATGTGAGCCACCATGGGTGTTGTTGGGAAGTGAACCTGGGTCTTCTGTGGGAACAAGTTCATGCACCATAACTTAACCACTGCATCATCTCTCCAGCCCCACAAGTATTGTTATTAAGCACTGATCTATCTATCCATCCTTTATCTATCTTTTTTTTATTTGTTTACATTTACTTATTCACTTATTTTGGGACAGGGTCAGTAGTCCTGTCTGTCCTAGAGCTCACTATGTTGAGCAGGCTGGCTTCACACTCAGATTCTCCTTCCTCTGCCTCCTGAGTGCTGGGATTAAAGGCGTGTATACCATGCCTGGCTTGCCTTACCTTGTCTTTTAAGGACATATGCATGCAGCTCTGCTGGCTGTGTGAATCATTTGCTGGATTATGGGGTCCAGGTGTACAGAGAGTTCCAGCTGCTCCATGTGTTAGCCAACAAAGAGTATTGTATGTCAACTGAAGTCAGTGCTTATATAAGCAATGATAGATAACTTTTAAGTATATTTAAATTATATTTAAAGGATCTGACAACTCTTTCCTTTTATTAACTCTGAAAAAATTGACATTGTTTTCTAATGCTGTGAGTGGATTTTGAATCTGAAATAACATTGTCAAATCATGTACAGAAGGTATCTAACTTAGGATGTCTCCACTTAACATTTTTAGACTTCGTGATACTGTGACATCTGAGTGACATCTGCTCAGTAGGGAAGCAACTGCCTTGGAGCCTAGCAGTGAGCTAAACACCCAGTTCCAATTTTGAATTTTAATGTTTTCTTGCAATCCTTTCTCCTGATGCTAGACACTGTAACAAGTCACAGCTGCCGGAGAGCCTCATAACCATGAAGGACTGACTGACACATTACAGTGTGCTGTGTTGCTGGGACAGTTGCTTGGTAGGTGAGATACCTACATGTGGATATCCAGTTTTTCTCAGCACCATTTGTTGAAAAGGCTATCTTTTCTTATCCTTAAACTACAGTTTTGTCCTTGGGTGTCAGTACTCAGAATCTGTGAGTCCTGTCACTCCAAAATAGAGAGCCCTGATGATGTTTGTATAGTCTCTTCCACCTTCTTTCTTGTTGACCACAGTTGCCTATAGCTTTCCCTCCTCTGAGGGAAATGCTTCCTGGGATAAGCCTGTTATGGGGAGACCATCAGAGATGACCACTGAGACACAGTTTATAGGTAACTGAAAGGAATAAAATATCTTTATTCCAGCTGGCTGTGATTGAACTTAGGTATTTGGGACCCAAGTGCAGTACTCAGTGTTTAGAGTAAGGGGTTTTTAAAGGCGAAACCACATTCTGGTGTCTCACGTGGCAGCTTCATGGGGGAGGTTTTGTGCAAGCAAGCAGTTTGACAGAAGCTAAGATTAGTTAGTTGGGGCATCTTGACCTTGGGATCCTAGAATAGAGTTGGGTAACTTTCCACAGGATTCTCCATCAAGGAGAATAAATTCTAGTTAACCCTAAAATGGCCTCAGCAAGAATACAAGATGGAAGAACCCCCACACTGTTTTGCCCTGTCACATGCTCTCCTAGCATTTCAGGTGTACCTCAAACATAGGCGTTAACTGAACACGGTAAAATAATGTGTTCATCAGCAATGCTTTCTCTGGAAAGTCTTGGCATAAAAGAGAGAAAACAAGAAAACATATTTAGTAGAAACTTCAAAAGTAAATACATTGCTTTTCAGTGTCTGATGGCACACAGTCACTCAGCCACTAACTTAAATAGTAATAATTATACAAAACATTTTTCTTTGGTTGATAAACATTGGTTTACACTACACTTTGAATACAACTTTTTTTTTTTTTTTTTTTTCAAAATGGAGTTTCCTCTGTGTAGCCCTGGCTGTCCTGGAACTTGCTCTGTAAACCAGGCTGGCCTTGAACTCAGAGAGATCCACCTACCTCTGCTGGGATTAAAGGTATGTGTTTTGAACCGAGGTGAATGTTGGAGAAGCCCTGGGAAAAGCTGTATTAGCCCTGTCAACATTGTCTATGGCTGCTTTCAATGAAGAAGCTTTGAATATGTATTTTCGTGGGTAGGAGTGATTTAGTGATACACAGTTCTTCTTCAGCAGCAGCTCGGTTAAATACTTAAAAGTTCTGGGAAGCCAAGCCTCTTTTTAATTTAAGGGGGAAGTGCAATTGACACCATCCTTAGCTTCTTGTGAACTACTCTAGTCTCTAATTTTCCTGGTTAGTTTGACATAAGGATCTTGCCTTTCTGGCAGGCTTCAAGGGAATCAAAGACAAACCGGCTACACATTTCCGGGTCCTTGCCTGACCCAGCGCATTTCCCAACTGGAGTTGTGAGTAGGCGACATGTAGCGGAGGCTGAGGCAGAAGGATTGAGAGTTTGAGGCAAGTCTGAGCTGCATAACAAGAAACCAACCACCCAGCTTTTAGACTGCAAAAAAATTCAGGGTCTGATCAGTCGCCCCATAGCGTTCAGCTGTCCTCCGCACAAACTCCACAAGTACTTCCCAACCAGACCCACGCGTCTCCAAAGCTGCCCAGCACAACGACTTCCTGGTGGAGGCGGTCCCCCAAACGGGGAAACCCCTGCCGCAGGGCCCCACTGGAAGCAGCGAAGCGAAGTGGGGCAGGGGCTACGCTCGGCGCTCGATTGCTCGAGCCTGGCGACGACAGAGACCTTGCGACGGCTCTGCGCTCGAGGGGTCGAGCCTGGCCCGTTGCCGCGGCGGCAGCGGCGGCGGTGGCGGCGGTGGCGGGGACGTGAGCGGGAGCGAGTCCGCGGCCCAGAGCGGGAATGTCGAGGAGTTCGAAGGCGGTGCTGGGCCTCTCGGTGCTGCTGACGGCGGCCACGGTGGCCGGCGTGCATCTGAAGCAGCGGCAGGACCGGCAGGTCGGTGTCACGTGACCGCGCCTTCCGGAGCGCGGAGCGCGGAGCCCGCCGCGGTCCCCGCGCGCGTGGCGGGCCGGGCGGGCTTCCAGGGCGCGCGCGTCCAGGTCTCCGACTCCTCTCCCCAGCCACGAGGCCTAAGGCTAGGGCGGAAGCCGCGGGGCTGGGGTGTAGCCCTGGGGCAGAGCGCTGGTAGGACGAGCACGAGGCCCGGGGGCACCGCAGCCCACAAAAGCAGTACCCAGTCGTTAGATCCCCGTGATACCGCAGCCTGCTCCCAGCACACCCCCTGTGCCTTTGACCAAGGCAACTTGAGATTTTTGTAGCTTTTGCGTAAGTGAACAGTCTGCTATGGAAAGTCGGTTCCGAAAACGATCACAACAAAACAAAACAAAAAACCCACCCTCCACGTTTTCTTTTGATGCTTTTTATTTCGGGGGAATATCTGGCTTGCTGGTCTGCGACGGTCTCTTTATGTTCTCATTCAGGTTTGCAACGGTCAGTGCACTAGGCACATTGAGAACGCATAGTTCATGATGGCCTCTCTAGAGTCTCTTCTTTTTCACAACGGAGCTATGGTCCGCAGGCCAGTGTTTGGTTTTTGGCCTTTCAGGCAACCCCTGACAGGTATTTGGCTTGAACCGGATGTGCCAAAGGCAGAGCAATGAACTGAAAGGGTCAAGAGTGAGCAGCCCCACTGACTTCGGTATTCACAGTCTAGAAAGCCGAGAGGAATCTTGA